GACGTATACCGATATTCAGAGCTAAATTATGTAAGAACCGCTTTGCTGCATTCCAATAAACAACAAAGTTGTTGCGCAGTTACATACCTAGTTCAAGATCTTGTAGCCGTTTCGTCGTATTTCCTCCAGACTTTGATGAAATACGCTTTCAAAATTTGGAAATGTCGTAAAATTGAAGAGCTCGTTCGCATCGGGAACGACTGTGAAACATGGATAAAAATGCATCAAAAAAGGAGGAGTGTGCGAGCGGTAGACTACTGTGCACATAAACATGGGATCTAACGAACACTTCGTATAGCATACATTATAGTCTAGCACTGCCAGATATGCTAGAGCGCGCATTTTTTCTGCACAGCGGATAGATGTAAATCGATGTTTCAGCACCGCCTACTTCACGCTTCGCGCGACCCTAAGAACCATTTTCTCTGACAATTTTTCTTCTTGAACCGAGAGCACCCTCGCCTTCAAATAACCAGAAATTGTGCAATTGCAGAAATTGACGTGGCATTAACGTGGCATCGATTCAAGAACATCTTTGAGCACACGTGATGTCACCTTTTCATCGAGAATTTAGCCACAGTGCCATTCTGGCTGCATGAAGACGTATCTATAGGAGTTTAAATTTTTCCGTTTCATTCGCTTTCAGCGGAGTTATGGTAGTGCGACGGTCTTTGATAGGTGCGACGGTCAATCACCGTCATTTTTTCACATTCTGTGAGCGGTATTGTATTCAAAAATTATAACCAGACAAGTCCCGCGGACAACGAGCCGCGTACGGGCTGTAATCTGAAAGATTTCTTACCCTGGTTTTTAGAATAATCATCTTCACGATTGAGGTGGCAGGGTCTTTAAGCACAGGGACTTTGCAACTAGAAAATGCGAGGCAAGGGCGCTAATACCTCCACCCCCCCCCCTCTTGGCCGCTGCGACCGCTGCTATTCCTATCAGCGAAAGCAGCTGGTGTCCGGAGCCTTCTCGGTGTTGCGCTCTTTTGCGTTTTCCCTCTCGTATCAGCGTTGTGCCCATCTATTATACCACCGTCAACTTTACAAAAACCGAAGAAGTCCATTATTTTGCCTAATTTTCCTCTCCGCCCCCCCCCCGCGCCCGCCCGTCTGCCAATTTTCCGAGCAGAATAATACACTAATTCAACCGCGGCCCGTATCTTGAATGAGTTTCAGGTTTTGTCAGTTTGATTCTTGCATGATTTTCTTATTTTTTTCATCGATGAACTCTATCAATTCAACGTAGTTCAGATGTTGAGCCACGTAAATGGACTACCCCAAGTGGTATCGAATTTTTAGAGCTGCTTTTTGCCTGAATTAAGGTGTAGTTTTCTCAGAATAAGTATAAGCCGTGCACTTCATCGTCGTCACATTGATTCCACAAAATGTTACTTTGGAAATATTTAATTACCAGTTTGGCTGCGCACGCATTCGCGTGCATGAGACGGGGCTCAGCGGTAAAATCGGGCCCATCAGTATTTTTGTCTTGATTTTAGCTTTCTGCTCGGTACATCTTACTTACGCCGCAAACTCCGCCCACATCCGGGTGTGCCACGCCCAGCGTTCACATTCAACCTCTACTCCTACTTTCACCTCTGGCGTATTTTTTTCAGGTCTCTAAGTCATCTCGGAGCCGAATTATGAGGTCTTGTAAATGGCGTTATGAGTCACGAATTTCTGAGGCAGACCCCGCCCACTTTGGTGCATGCTTAGCCCAACAATGGCATTCAACCCTACTCCATACCTCAATACTTATGCACATTTTCCCCGGTCGCCGGAACTTCTAGGAACCGAGTTATGAGAGCGGTGGCAAACTCCGCCCACATCCGGGTGTGCCACGCCCAGCGTTCACATTCAACCTCTACTCCTACTTTCACCTCTGGCGTATTTTTTTTCAGGTCTCTAAGTCATCTCGGAGCCGAATTATGAGGTCTTGTAGGGGACGAAATCGAGCTACGTATCTTTGTGGCAAACCCCGCCCACTTTGGTGCGTGGGTCGCCCACTGATATCAGTCGGCTATCATCTCTTCCCCAACCTTTTTCTACTTTTCTCCCATCTCTGGAACTTATTGGAACCGAGTTATGAAGTACCGTGGCAAACCCCGCCCACTTTGGTGCATGCTCCGCCCGCCAACAACGGTTGACCCCTTTCCCTCTGCCAACCCTCATACGCTTTTTTCCCGGACTCCGGGACTCCTAGGAACCGAGTTATAAGCCTAATTGCAAACTCCGCCCACTTTGATGTAAGCCACGCCCATCCCTGACATTTAGCTTCCCCTCCCCTCCTGACCTCTATCCGTTGTTTTCCGGTCTCTAAGTCATCTCGGAGCCGATTTATGAGCTCTTGTAGAAAATGCTGTCCGCTTCACGACACGCTCCGCCCATTGTGGGCGGGCCTCCGTTCACATCATGCGTGGTGGAAATACCTTAGGCATTGCTCCCCTGCACTAATTTCGTTTCTGGTCTGTAGGCTTCCTCTTAACCGAGTTATGAATATTTTCACTGAGCACCCATTTTCTAGAGAACGCCCCGCCCACCGAGGGTGGGTCTCCTCAGTTCAATCTGGCTTACCAACCCACACCTATGCCCACTTTTGTCCCGGTCTCGAGGCTGTTTTGTGACTGAATTTGAAATCATGGTCCTCAGTACCACTCATTTCGACGCACGCCACGCCCACTGTGGGCGGGGCTCCGCTTAGGTAATGTATGTTTTTTACTTCTCGAGATATGGTACACCCATCCCAAACATGACCTGGACCCAGTAGGTTGTTGTCCGCTTAATACGGAATTTCGTGACAGACAGACAGACAGACAGAACCGACCCCCCCCACCACACGTAGGCATGTATAATATCCTACTTACTATAAAGCGCTTCGTCTGTCGTGTGTCGTGTGTCGTGTGTCGTGTGTCGTGTGTCGTGTGTCGTTCTGTATGTCTGTCACGAAATTCCCTAGCTCCTCGGGATCCACCTGGAGGGACCGGGTCAAGTGTGGGATGGGTGGGCAGGGTCTCACGTAATACAAAACACACATCAGCTAAGCGGAGCCCCGCCCACAGAGGGCGTGGCGTGCGTCGAAATGAATTGTACCGAAGACCAAGATTTCGATTTCAGTGACAAAACGACCTCGAAACTGGGCCAAAAAGTGGGTAAGGTGTGCATTGGTAAGTCACATCGAATTAGGGAGACCCACCCCCGGTGGGCGGGGCGTTCTCCAAAAAAGCAGTGCTTTATGAAAAATTTCATAACTCGGTTGGGAGAAAGCCTACAGAGCAGAAAACAATTTGGTGTAAGGGAGCAATGTCTAAGGTGTTTCCTGCATACATGACGTGGGCGGAGGCCCGCCCAGAATGGGCGGGGCGCGCTCTGAAGTGTACAGCATTTTCTACAAGCCCTCATAATTCGGGTCGGGGAAGTCTTAAAGAGCCGGAAAAAGGTGGATAGAGGTGTATGGAGGAGTGGAGGCCAGCTGTCAATGGTGGGCGGGGCTTGACCAAAGTGGGCGGAGTTTGCGACGAAAATTCATAACTCGGCTCCAAGAAGTCCCGGAGGCCGGGAAAAAGGTGGATGGAGGTGGGTGGAGGAGTGGAGGCCAGCTGTCATCGGTGGGCGGGGCTTGACCAAAGTGGGCGGAGTTTGCGACGAAAATTCATAAACTCGGCTCCATGAAGCTCCGGAGGCTGGGGAAAAGGTGGATAGAGGTGGGTGGAGGAGTGGAGGCCAACTGTCATTGGTGGGCGGGGCCTGACCAAAGTGGGCGGAGTTTGCCAAAAGTGTCGTAATTTGGTTCCAAGAGGGTCCCACAAGACCGGTGAAAAAAGGGGTAGAGGTCGGCGAAAGAAGGGGGCCAAAAATGCTATTGGTGGGCGGGCACGCACCGAAGTAGGCGGAGTTTGCCACGAGATTTATTGTCCGGAAGCAGTCCGGAGACCGAGAAAAAGGATAATGGTTGACGAAGAAAAAAAGGTTGAAAGCCGTCGATGATGGAGCGGATTGAATTTAGCTGAGGATTCAGATATTCGTAGTGTATCAAGCCAAATATGAAAATTTTCGTCGCACCATCAAAATTCGCCGCAGATCTGTGTTGCGCGCGCAATGCGTGCGGCGCCAACTGGTAAAAGGGATATATTTCATTATATATCATACTATATTTATTAACCTTTACATTGCTTTATTCATCGCTGATTCTCTATTTGTAGCAGATAATAATTAGCTTATAAGAAGAATATTTGAGTTTCCACTTCACAGGCATCAAGTTTTGGTTCGAATATATTTGCCGTTCATGGCATGTGATGAATGAGTCACGTTCAAAGATCCCTTGTTTGTTTCGAGTTACAGGGGCTGATGCGTGAGAAAGCGGAGACTCAAACTGGTGGAAATTAATGATTTAACAGCAACAGATGCCCTTCTCATAGAAAACTGTCTCTAGAACCTTTGTGTCTCGGTTGAATCGCGTGAGTCAGGCGTTGCAGTCGAATACACGAGATAGAAACCTTTTGACTTCTTACCAAATTAGGCTCGGGAAATGATATCCTCTATCCTTACTGATTTCTAGGCGAGCTAACAGTTAAGACAGAGGTCCTCTGAGAGAGAGGGGAACATCATTGAGGAACCTACATAAACGAGGACATGCGAAGATAAGGTCATGTTGTATGTAATGCGCAATTGAGGATAGGGAAAGGCACCTGCTTGTTGGTCTTCGACGCCTTACCATTCTGTATATTGGGCCTTCTGCTGGCAGGATTTGGCTTTCCCACTTGACAGTTCCCTTCAAATATTGAAACGCTTGGTCTTCTAGTCCTCTCGAATTCTGAACCTCTGAGGGTTAGAGAATGGAATGCTTGGTAAACCATTTTGGCAAACACTCTTGTACAGTACCTACATAGCTCAGTGCAATATCGTGAAATATGATACATTTATAATGTGAATAACTTATATAATATCCAGGCTGTAATCTTCAGCAAGCATGTACGTAACAGCCTTTTTCAAATACATTTTTCATTCGGATGCAATATCGGACTTCCGCAAATTCACGCGTCCTAACCGTCCGCCGTAAACATCGGCGTTAGACTGCATAAACGTTGCTATAGAGTGGATCGTCAACTGATTGGTAATGTCAGCCTGGAAGATTACCTGTTAAACAACTTCTTATCAACTATATGTGTACCAGTCAAATGTCCTGTGAAGAGGTGGAATATAGGAAGCCTGAAGGCTTAATGAATCACCTCTTCGGCGGCCATGTCATCAGCTTCGATCGTCCAGGAATCGGTACTTGCCTGTAACATTCACCTCAAAATAGGATTGTTCTACGTAAAACTGACCTCCTGGCTCACCTCGACCCTGGATTTCTTCAACTGGTAGCAAATGTGTGCAGTTTATGACTTACTACAGCAAATACTCCTGTAAGAAGAGATGGTCAACAAAGTTGTAGGTACCATCGATAGTGCATGATAATCGCTAATATCAATTGATGCATACCGTGTACTCCGTTCTCCATACTCAAATAGCTCATTCTGTTGATCACCTTTAGCATTGACAAACTGAAGAAAACCACCGAGCAGATAATTGGGTCGAACTAGAACCAGAAGGTAAGAAATTTGTTGTGGACAGCAAAAATGGTCCTGAAAATTTCGACAAACCGGAATATTGTTAGGCATGACATCGCCAAGCCAATTGTCATGAATGTTTGGAAAGTGAAATATAATGAAAGGAACCAATCCAATCCTGACCCAGGTGGGCCTGACAGCGCATCGCACGAGTGCACCCATAAGGTGCCAAATAACATGATTACTGGAAAAAGGAAGTCATATAATGAGCAAGCATTAAAATTACGCTTTAAGATTATTTAAATGCGAACTTTCGTGATGCAAATTCCTAAGACGCAATATTATGATAGTAGGGACCATGAAAAATTGATCGGCCTGTGTCGCCCGCATTGGGCGCTGCGCTGAAATCAATTCAATGTTAATTGTATTGCTTTCTGGTTTTAGCCCGCCCCCTTAGTTTCATCGAAATCAGCGGCTGGTTTAGCGCAAGAGGCGCCAAGTCGCCCAAAATTTGATTTTGACTTGTTGGGATGATAATAAATAATATGAGGCAATAAATATGCGGATCATGTGATGAACCTTACAATCTCAATTTGAGCCGAGCATAGACAGTGGTGAGATAGACGAGCGCTAGTTGTCCGATATCACGAATGATAATCCAGGTTATTGGACAGAATAAGGCACCGTAAAGCATGGTGCAACATTTGAATGCGACGGTATCGGGAGCAGTTGAACTGAATTTCAATCTCAATCTCAAGGTTTCTAGGGATCAGCCAATTTGCAGAAGACGGCTGCAGAAACCAGTTTTTACTAGGTTGAAATTAGGAGGATCCTTCCGGGAAATTCATGATTCTGTTGGGCTTTTAATATTCCTGTCGCATTTTCTATCAATTTCAGTTTTCTTCGTCTAGACCGTTTCTTACGCATACGTTAGTATTGTTGAGTATTTCTTTCCAGGCCTTAACTAAGCAGTTTAGTTTACGGAAACGCCCAGAGCCTTAATGAGTTAACAACGTAGGAAATAAAGAAGTCCAGTGATCTAATGAATGATTATGGAATTTGCATCCTCAAATACTATGCTAACAAGAAGGAAAGAGACTAGCGTGAGTTTGGCCGTCTTGCATCATGATGAGGGTACATGAGTAAATGGTCCAATCCGCAACGTAGAACCGAAACGAGTATCGACTTAATATACGGGGGCTCGGCACTTTTTGATGAACGCCTTTGCACCCTAATTGGGAGTGCCTCCGCACGTTGCTACCAGGTATTGTAGCAGATACCTGAGAGCAGCCGATGCACCAGCACACGCCATCAGTATGGCAAGGACTGCTGCAGAATGGAAGTTTTGATGGAAACCTTATGGTCCGGCCGACCTAGGTGGCCTGGTTTGGGAACCACTTCAATGTATGAAGACAAGCATTGCTAAAGTCAGCGCGGAATAGCCCTCTAGGCTGGCTTCGGGGTTGCGAGGGAATCGTCAGAAACGTCTCAGATTCTCCTTTCTCCGAATGTACGCCAGACCTCACATTGCAATGCCAACTCACCACGTTCTGAGGGAGATAGCCAGGGCCACGATACCTCATCCACCATATAGCATTGGCATCGCTCTATCGGACTATCGCCTCCCCTGCGCCCTGAATAAGCATCTGCCAGAGAAGAAAGTTAAAGATTGCGACCACCCCAAAAACGACTTCTCCAAATTCTTCAACCCCCAGCTTCCTTCATTCTGGGCTGGAAGCTTCCAAACGCTCACTAGCAAATGCACGCATATCAGTGACCATGATGGTGGTTATGCTATTGATCAGTTGTTTCCTAGAAGAGATAAAACTTGAATAAACAAAAGTGTCGAAATTGCGACAGGAATTATGAGACAACCCAATATCTTACCCATAAACCACTGGCGTGAGACTCGTCGTCCACAATAAGAACGAAAAGAACAAAAAGTTGCATTTTGTTCGGTGAACAAATCGAAAAATCGAAAAGGCTGTTTCCCACCGGACATCTGTCACAAATGCTGGCGACGGGAATGCTTCCACTTGGTTCTTGGAGTGCCTCACTAGAAACTCTTTCTGGCCTTTTGACTTATTGCATTCACATCTCACACTTCTACTGCATCCTATTCTATCGATCGATTTGTCTCTACTCTCCAAAATCGCACGCTTTAACCCGATTCTTTCATTGCGTCGCCTGATACGTAGCCGCCCAAGGCGGACTTCTTTCCATGCCCGCCTTTGGCTCCGCGCCTTTTACCTTCGATTGTCCATAGTTTTTGTAAGTTTGTTTCTCTTCGGAAACCGAATCTTCATGCGTGAAACTTTGTGTGCTATTTCCAGTGATCACAACTGACATATTCATGTTAGGAAAGAATGCAAGAATTTTCCGCGCAGGATTCCTTTAATTTAAGCTTGGCATAGCGTACAGTCCTCTATTAGTCATACAGATATACCAGCAGGGTCAAGCGTGCGTTGAGGAATCCTCGACAGTTCGGCAGTTCGTAACTGCCTCGCTGAGAGGAAGTTGTCGGGCCGGATCGATGCAGTAGGATCATCATTGTCGGAGGACAAACATCAAGGAGTGATCGATGCTGTGCAAGCTTGGCCAGAGGATTTCCAATAACAATGTTATTCCGCCCACATAAAATTTTCGTGGCTTCAAAGGGTCCGCGTAGTAATTCTATGCTACCTCAATGACTTATTACGACAAGGTTAAAGGGCACTATTCAACTATTACAACCCCAAAATCTCAAAATTTTAAATTTCCTCGAAACTTCGCCCATAGGGGTTATTCGATGCCTTGATTACGAAATGACAATATCATTCCTGCTGACCCGGTTGACTCCAAACCCCCTTGTTGGCGTCAATTTGGCGCCAGTTTGGCGCCAGGGTCCATTTTCACCAAATTCGCTGTAAACTTGTATACAGGGGTTACTTCGGGTCCTGATTACGGATATGTCATTCATTTGTAGCATTTCCACCGTTCAACGCACATTTTCCATTTTTTCCTGGGTCCTCTCACTTGTACAATCCCTAGCGGGGACTACCAAGGACGATGGGAGCGAATGCCGGGGTGAACCCACAACGTTTCCCAATATTTAAAGCGTATCAGATCACAGACTTGCGTGCTCATCACTCCTTGAAGTACCCCTCTCCCAAAGGCTTAGTCCTGATCAGTGATAGGGCGGCAGACGAGCGGAAAACAGACGCCCACTGTCGTTAGCGGGAAAAATGATGTTGTATTCGTGATCAGGACCCCAAATAACCCCTGTATACAAGTTTCCACCGAATTTGGTGAAAATAGCCCTGGCGCCAAACTGGCGCCAATTTGGCGCCAAATGGCGCCAACGTCAAAAATGAATGTCATTTTCGTAATCAGGGCATCGAATAACCCCTATAGGGCGAGAGTTTCGGCGAGAAATTAAAATTTTGAGATTTTGGGGTTGTAATAGTTGAATGCCAAAATAGGAGTTTAGGCATTGGGTGTTGAAATTCTAGTATAGTGTGCCATCCACTCAATAACCCTTCAGATTTGACGGGTTTGAATAGCATATCGGCACGTGGGCCAGTTACGTGATCGTAATCGTATAAGGGCAAAACTATTGTCGGGTGCTGCGGTACGGCTCTTGATTCCAAATGCCCGGCATTCTTCGTAAAGGCAAGGTCCGGGATTTTTAGTCTAAATTGAGCCCTCTCGTCGTCTAACGTCTAATTCTCCGAGAAAAGAGCAGTGGTGCGCAAGCGAAAGCACGTACACAACTTTCTGGATGAGCCGACAAGGCCGAGGCGCTAAAATCCTAGGATACAGCATTGGCCTCTCCCAACACTACTGAGCCCACAAATCAGTGCTATTCAGCTTTGTTACTACTCTAGGGAGGATCTGTCGTCGGATCATTTTCGGCCTTACCGAACGTTTCTCTTCATTTTCCATTGCTGGTGTCATAATACACATCTCCACTGTCACTTTCAAGCGCAGTAATGCAGTTCGATCCCAGACTTTGTCGTTAAAGGACTGGGGACAATAACATGCTACGGCTGGGTACGCAAAGCAATGTCAACGCATTTTAGAGCTCTCTGCAGCGCGAGCTCCCCGTTTCCATCATATTTATAAAAATCCCACTACCCTTTTCAGTGGGGACCTAACTTCCGCAGCTAGTCAATACGGTGTTTCTGCCAACCGTGAGGCCAGGCATTCAGCGTTATGTTGTGCGGTCTTGGAGCTCCATCCTAACTATTACAGAATCTCCTTTCTTAATGTTTTTAAAAGGCATAGTCTTATTACCATTCAGAGAACCTGCTTTTCTTTCTACACTCTCACCCCCTGGTTGACAGAAGCCCTGTAACCAATCAAATGCGAGCCCACTTCTCGCTGCGCGCTTCACAATGCACGCCGGAACCCAATCTCAGTGACCGAACGGAAACTGTAGTGGAAGTTGTTTTTCCAAATTTCTACTCAGAACCACTCCACTCAAAGGAGCACGAGTGCCCAACTCGATTGTGGAAAGAGAACTGCGACTGACAAGGGAAGGATACCAAGTCGAAGTGGCCATCCGTAATGAAACCTATACTCAGAGATGTGTTTTCGGACGCTGATCTCGAATCCACTCTCCAAATTTGCGAAACGATTCTCTGAAAAGTGTTACGGAGGTTGTTTCGAATGAAAGCTGTAAGAGACTCCGGCAGAGCTCGGCTTCCAGCGGCGGCTTGGCCGAGTGGTAGTGTTGGCGGCTTATGGTCTTTGGTCTAATTTAAATATAAAAATTATTCAGTGTTGAAATTTTCACTGCGTCCAAAGCTAACGCATGTTTAGAGGGGTTTGTTTAACGCATTCCACTTTTTTCGTAATGTTTCGACCACTGTCCGGAGGTGTTTCTACGCCACGGAAGTGACGTATATCCGACGATGGGCTAAACAAATGGGAGATGCTTGCTCAACGAACCTCGAAACTTGGTCGCAATCAGTAGTTGGTGCTACCCCTGATCCTAGCCATTACCCTCGTGCTATCCTGCCATAAACGGCAACGAGCGTGTACTTGGAAAAAATACCATGCTTCGGATGGCGCATGCAAGTAAAGTATACGCATATATCTCTTTGCAAAAAGATTGAAAGTTTAGTTCCATCCCATGATCAGGCTCTGACAATGGGTTGATGGATAGACAGCTGGTCAGATATGACTGCCCACATTTTCGACTTCAAGTCAAAATTTTAGATTTGGACCAAATGTTGTTGAAAGGGGTGTTTCGACGCGCTGAACACGAATATCGCATCTGCTTGGCACGAAATTGCCTTACGCGTGCGCTACGGGTGTCAGAGGCGGTCACTTGCAAATGACGCGCACAGTGCTCGAAGCTCTTCGCCAGCTCTGTTTACTTGTGCTATAGGCAATCGCTGATAACTTAGCATGGATAAGAGTCCCTTAAACAACGTTCACAAGAAAAGCAAAAGTGAGAACTCGCCAAGAACTCGAACTCACGACCTCTCGTTCGTTGAGCCGCACCGCTGCCACTGCACTATCTCGCTTCATAACTACGTTCAAAGAATCGTTTCGCAGATTTGAGATAAGCGTCCAAAAACACATCTAGTGGTGTATGTCTCGTTACAAATGGCCACTTCGACCTGGTATCCTTCCCTTGTGAGAGCTAAGCGTCGGCACGAGCCACACACAACAAAATACTACAGAAAAAAAGGCACGAAAAAAGCATCAACGATAAGTCGTTGAGAGATTCTTGAATAGATTACTAGTTTAACACATCGGCAAGTAAGGGCTTAAGTTGGTAATCAACTGGGAGCGTGACCCCATAATGAAACGAACATCACCACTGTGCAGTAGAGTTTTTACTTGTAAATTACCATATTGACTATTTGACAGCATTTATGCAACATTAGGAGACTTTTTGCCTCTAATAAATCTCAATGTGCTCATAAAACTTTCTTACAGGAAATTCTATTTTTAAGGAAAAAACGCTAAATTTCACAGTCAACTTTATCACAATATATAGACATCTCCCGGCGAAACAAATCCATTTATGCAACCATAGTGTTACTTTCAGGAAATGAAGGATATGGAAGGCTTGACGGTGCGTCGACATCGAATTCGCTGTTGTCTCGAGATATGCTGTCCTCCGATGCTGGAATGAGGAAGGTTAGACGAGGTTTGCTCAAGGCCACGTCTACCATGCAATAAAAACAGGAAGAATGGACTCAGAGGTTAATCCAGATGGATGTGGTTCAGAAAACTCAATCACAGCAGAACGCTGTACACGGCCCTAAGGCCGATGTCAGACTTTGCGAATCGCGCGATTTGCTACTAGCGATTCGCTAGCGTCCGCGGTCGCGTTGCGGTACCAGCCAATTGAGTGATTCACTGGCCGCGACGCGACCGCAGACGCTAGCGAATCGCGCGATTCGCAAAGTCTGACATCGGCCTAAGATACGTGCCATGGGCGGGACGCCACTTGCGATGCCGGCTTTCGCCACCTCCGCAATTCGGACCATCTGACCGTCCCAACAATTCCGGCAGCAAATAAATAAGAATCGATCTATAACTTACATCGAGAGCTCATTTCCTCCTTCCATTTTTGCAATCCCGTCATCATAGTTTTGTACTCTTCTACTTCAGCTGCTAATATTTTCTGATATGTCTGAAAATCCTTTTTGAAATTCTACTTTCAAAAGAAGCGGTGGCAAATAGGAAGATCATTCACTTCATAGTCGACATGTACGCCTTCTACCCACTCCTTTTTCACCATCGCAGACACTTCATCCAAATACGTGTAAACCTTAGGGCTTGCTTCTTCGAAACGAATTGACGATACCTGAAACGAGTACTGTGGTGCAAGGTGATGTATTACCTGCAGTGCGCAAGCTTCCTAAATTTCCTAAAATACTACTGGCTTCCCTCAGACGCATGAAATAATAATTTTAAATGCATTTGGCATATACTTGACTCTGATGAATCCGATTAACTCGATGCACGAGACAGTACTTGTAACCTCCAAACAAGTCTGTACTTTTTCATAGACACGGAGGACGAGAAGGCGCAGTTGGACTAGGTGAGAAGGAAGCTGACCCGCAACCAGAAGTTGCAACTTAGCGCCAGTTATTATCGCCCCATCTCCACCCGATGATACAAAGCACAGACAGGACGAGAAAAAGAGACACTTTGCCCATGGCGCGCACTTCATCGAACTTTTCGTCGCACAGAGTGCCGATGTTAATGAAAGTTTTACGGCGAATATTCCTTAGGTGTTCCCCGTAAACAGAAGCAGGCCCTCCTTCACTGCCCCGCCGTCTTCAGAATATGACGTCATCTGCCGCCACCGTCGAGCTCAACGAGGCTTACCGTAATCGCTCCGGCCTGAAGCTGCTTCATAATTTCTTCAATGGATTAACTGTTGAATAGCTTCCCAGAGACATTAGCTGTGACTATGCAAAACCGCTTTTGACCAGCGTTTCAGGGACGTCGTAATGGTCTATGGTACCTCGACGACCTCGTTGAGCTCGTACCGTGAACCATTTCCGTGGGAAAATCTTCTGATGTCGTCGGTGTAGAAGGCTGTCATGTAACTTTAGATAGATTAGAATGTGCTCTTTAATACTGAGTTGGGGGCAGTCGATTTGATTCTAGCAAAGTGTGATTAATGCTGTCTGAAATGTGGAGTGAAAGTGTCTCTTTTTTTGGCCACCCCTGTATAACCCATCTCTCACCATGTCAGTGATAATACGTAGCGCACAATGACTTGCATGTGATCAGTACAAAGGCAACAACCCCGGATGAGGTGTGTAGAGGAATCTGTTTTGTAAAAGGGATAGAGTAGGCTACGAGCCATCACTGTCGCAAGTGTGCGGCAATGGCGCTAGAGCCTCACAAAATTAATGGATTGCGAATAAATTTGATTATTAATATTATTATTAATATTTTGCGGATACATTATGTGAATTTATGACCGAGATACTTCGTACACATCCCATGATTAGCGCAACGTGGACAACAGCGTAACGCCTACATCAAACACGCGTGAGCTAGTGGGGTGGTGCAAGCAAGTTTAGAAGATCCCTTCTCATTCCAAAGAGTAAGAGAGAGAGCCCTTGCAGGGTTTCTCTGCTTCATTTTGCATTTTTTCAGCTCGGCTTCCAAGCTTTCAATATCGACCACTATTGCCCCACCAACTTCTGGGGTTGTTGCTTTGAATCGCGGCACGCTCTCGCAGAAGGCCGACGGCCTAATGATACACATCTCGGAGTTCTGAGTTACTGGTAGACTATACTGGTTTCTTATTATTAATGATCAGTTTCCGTAGTATTCACTTGCCTGTCTAGCTTTTCTACGATCCTTTCGTTTCCCGGGAGTATGCAATATCGACGAAGTGGATGGAGTTTGGTCACCCAGGTCCTCGAATTCGCAAGTGAACTGAAATGGTACTATGAATATCGTAGCAGAGC